TTATCATTAGAAAATTACAGGTCATCCAGGTTTTAACATCCTGAAGGCACATTTGAAGTTTAGCTAACTGATGTGTTTCATCTGGTTTGATCGATAGATATAACTGAGTATCATCTGCATAACAATGAAAGCTTATGGAATATTTCCTGATAATATTGCCTAAAGGAAGCATATATAAAGTGAAGAGGATTGGTCCGAGGACAGATCCTTGAGGAACTCCATGACTAACTTTGGCATGAAGATAGATAGATTGATCATATCTAGAATAGAAGTGCTGACTGAGGGTAAAACATCTTTAAGCAACCTAGTCGGGATGGGGTCTAAGAGGCAGGTTGATGGTTTAGATGAAGAAAGTATTGAAGTTAGTTGGTAAAGATTGAGGGAAGCAAAGCAGTCATATAAACATATATCTGGTTGTACAGCTGTTTCTAAGGTTCCTGAGTTTGGAGATAAGTTGGTGCCAGTTGAGGGCAGGTCTTGGTGAATTTTGTTTCTAATAGTTAGAATTTTATCATTAAAGAAGCTCATGAAGTCGTAACTACTGAGAGTTATGGGAATACTTGGCTCAATAGAGCTGTGACTCTCTGTCAGCCTGGCTACAGTGCTGAAAAGAAACGTCTCAGGTTACGTATGTAACAAGACAATGCGTCGGTGACGACACTATGAGAACGCCTCTGGGCGTGGCAGGGCTGAACTATGAATGAAACTACTCCAATCCTATTGGTGTTACTAGAACGGTAGTGTGTGATGGCGTAACCGGAGGGGGTATATAAGCACGCCGGCACATAGGACACATTAGCCCTTTCTATGAAGCAAGACACTCCAGGCGGGGTGAGGTGTGGTGGACCGACGCAGTGTCTCGTTCCCCTTCTCGGGGACGACTAGGAGGAGAGCTGGTCTGATTTCCTCCACCGGGAAGACCTCAGAGTGTAAATACTCAGTGCTCTGACAGGGCAGAGCAGATGAAGTCTCCCGTCCTCCACCGTCACATGAGGTGGGGGATGAAACGCCTGCAGCACCGTGGACCCTGCCAGTCTGGCTGGAACCTTAGAGACATAACCTGGACAAGGGTGCAGGATGGCCCTGACCCTCCCCGAGGCAAACTCCAGGCATCGGGGAGACACCGAAAGTGCCTGGAGATCCCCCACCCTCCTCAGAGAGGTGATAGCGAGAAGAAAGGTCATCTTAAGGGTCAGGTGCTTGACCTCAGCCGACTCCAGGGATTCAAAGGGGGCCTCAGCCAGCGCTTCGAGAACCCCTGCCAGGTCCCAGGTGGGAACCCTGGAACGAGTCACGGGTCTCATCCTCCGGGCTCCACGGAGGAAGCGCACAACCAATGGAAGCCTCCCCAAGGGCCCATCACTCAGAGGGGCGTGGAATGGTGCAATGGCAGCCACATACACTTTGAGCGTGGATGGGGAGAGGCCGGTGGAGAAACGGTGCTGGAGGAACTCCAGTATCACAATTACTGAGCAGGTAACTGGGTCCACCGCCCGTTCTCTGCACCAGGTGGTGAACACATTCCACTTTAGGCCGTACATCCTTCTCGTGGACGGGGCTCTGGAGCTGAGCAGCGTCTGACGACAGGAGCAGTCGAGTCGCCTCTAGGAACTGCGCCCCCTCAGGGGCCAGACCCATAGCTGCCACAGGGCAGGGTGCGGGTGAAAGATCCGCCTGGGACAGCAGCTCTCTCCTCAGAGGGACCTGCCAGGGCGGGCCCTCGAGGAGCGATATTAAATCCGAGAACCACTCTCGTGCCGGCCAAAACGGGGCTACTAGTAGTAGACTGACGCCGTCCTGGTGGACCCGCTCCAGAAACAGACGCAGCCTCTGCCATGTCTGCACCATGGCATCCAACCCTAGCGGGGCTGGGGACGAAAGGGAGAACCACAGGTGACAGTGCGCCGTCTCTCGGGACGCAAACAAGTCCACGTTTATGCATAATAACTCCACCACCTGGGGGTGGAGTCTCCATTCCCCGGGCCTCAGTCCCTGTCTCGACAGCAGGTCTGCTCTCTGATTCTGGGTCCAAGGGACGTATGTCGCTCTGAGGGACAGCAGTCTCTACTGGGACCACAGGAGGATCTGATGTGGCAGTTTGCATAACGGGTGCGAGCGCAGACCCCCCTGGTGATTCAAATAGGCCACCACTGCCGTATTGTTGGTTCTGACAAGGATGTGGCGTACGCGGAGGGCGGGCAGAAAACTCCTCAGAGCTCTGAAAACCGCCAACATTTCCAGGCAATTTATGTGCCAAGAGAAATGATGCTCCTCCCAGGAGCCTCTCACGAAGCGGCCGTCCATGACCGCGCCCTATCCCATGAGTGAGGCGTCTGTTGAAATAATTGTTCGGCGACAGATCGCTCCCAACACAGGATCTTGGGACAGGAACCAAAATTTCCTCCATACAGACAGTGAACGAAGACATCCGCTCGTAACCCGTATCAGACGGAGCGGATTTCCCCTAGGGGAGAATCCCTTGGATTTTACCCACCACTGCTCATGTGCAGTAGTCCGGAACGTATTATACTGGACGCTGCTGCCAGAAGACCCAACACCCTCTGAAAGTGTTTTACAGGGATGGCGCGGCCTAACTGCACTCTGGTCACTGAGGACAAAATGGACTCGATGCGTGCGGGAGACAGGTGGGCCCGCATCGTCGTTGAGTCCCATACCACCCCTAGGAACGCAGTCCGTTGGGCGGGTGTCAGCACGTTCTTCTTCGCGTTGAGCCGCAGCCCCAAACGCTGAAGGTGGGCGAGGACGACATCTCGATGCCGAACCGCTAACTCTCGAGACTGTGCCAGGACGAGCCAGTCGTCGATGTAGTTCAGTATGCGGATGCCCTGGAGCTTCAACGGAGCCAGAGCTGCATCCATGCATTTGGTGAACGTGCGGGGAGATCTAGGCCGAACGGAAGAACCCGATACTGGTAATCCGTGCCCCTGAAGGCAAACCTCAGGAACTTCCTGTGAGAGGGACGGATGGAGATGTGGAAATAAGCGTCTTCCAGATCTATCGTGACAAAACTATCCTCGGATTGGATGTGGCTGATGATGGCTGTGATGGTAAGCATCCTGAACCTGAATCTCCTCAGAGACTGGTTCAGGGACCGCAGATCCAAAATCGGACGCAATCTTCCTTCCTTCTTGGGAACCAGGAAGTATCGGCTGTAGAAGCCGGCTTCTCTGACCGGCAGGGAAATTAGTTCTATGGACCCTTTCTTCAGCAGAGAGCGGACTTCCTGTCCCAACACCTGGCTCTTTTCTGCGTGTACTGTAGTCCCGATCATCCCGCAGAATCTGGGGGGGCGAACCTGGAACTGCAGCCCGTAGCCATCTACTACTGTGCACAGGACCCACGGGGAAATGTTCGCGAGGCTTCGCCAAGCTTCCGTGAACTTCGCCAAGGGGACCAGCCCCTCGGGGCCGACTTTGTTTTTTATTATTTTCTTTTTTAGAGGGGCTACAGAGTCGAGTGTCATTCTCAGCGAGCCTGCAGCACTATCAACAAGATGATCGATTTGGGAGGGACTGAAATTAGCATATGGAATTAGCTGATGGAATCGCATCCTTAAATTTAGCTACAGCACTATCAGACAGACATCTTGTGTAGAAATTTTTGCCCAATGGCGTGTAGTTCAGCTCAAAAGCTCAAAAGTTATCAAACAGTGGTCGGACAAAGAGGGATTCTGTGGGAACACTATTAAATGTTCAATTTCAATACCATACACCAAAACAAGGTCGAGGGAGTGGTTAAAACAGTGAGTCGGTTCATGAACACTCTGAGAGAAGCCAATGGAATCTAACAGAGAGATAAACGCAGTACTGAAGCTGTCATTCTCAACATCCACATGAATATTAAAATCCCCTACAATAATAACTTTGTCCGTTTTAAGGACGAAAGTTGACAAAAACTCTGCAAATTCAGATAAGAATTCAGAGTACGGACCAGGTGCTCGGTACACTATAACAAAAATCAATATCATAATCTGATATTAGTTCATTTACTAGTACACCTTTAGAAGAGAGAGATCTGATGTTTAAGAGTCCACATTTAATTTTCCTATTAGTTTGCACTATTGCTCTTGTGGTAATTTTTATGAGGTTTTTATGCACAGCTCCTCTTCTGTTTACCTTTTGATTTATTTGGCCACGTATTTGTTTCCTCAGCTTTATTTTGAAAAGCCAGTGGGTGGGTTGTCTTTGAAGCCAGTCTGTGAAAAATACTCAATCCAAAAATCCATTACTGCATATAGTAAACTTGTTCTTTAGACTTGTGTCAAAAATTCAAACATACTGTACTGGCCTATTTGTATTTTTTTGTATTTGTATTTTAAACAACCTGTTGTCGAGCACAGGAAAGGAGGAGGAGAAAGGAGGAGAAAACAGGCAGTAGGAGAGAGAGATACAGATTTAACAGCAGCTTTAGAGAGATGCATTTAAGTCAAAGAAGTTTGATTAATAACTCTTAATTCTTAAGTTTGTGGGAAGGAGTAAAATCTCACTTTTCTGGTGCAGTTTGGTTTAAATCAGATGTTGCTCTATTAAGCATTCACATGAGGAGTCAAAGCTTTATTTAACTGTACATAAGGACTATCAATCTAGGTGGACTGATAACATTTTCCTTTCTCACTTTTCCTTTCACTCAGAGAACAGTGGTCACAGAGTAAACAGCAGTTAGACCTTAATGTGATTTCTTGTAAGTGGGTAACTTTCTCTGCAGAGACCAATGGAATGAAAGTGAAACAATCAACTTCCATTTTATATGTTGTATAGTCACGAACCCTCCGCCGTGGCTGGCTGCCTAGTTACGCGTGTCAGGGTGGATTTTATTTATTTCCTTCCTTTTGGTGAAGTGCGGGTGTATTTTTATGAGGTTTTTATGCACAGCTCCTCTTCTGTTTACCTTTGATTTAAATAATTTCGATGATCGGGGGACAGACACCGTCACTATAGGATTTTCACTAAGTAACTCCTGAAATGGAGGAGCAGAGAAGTGTGTTAGACTGCGACTCTGCCTCCTGGTCTCAACTCTGGGTTGTCATGGATTTGGTCCACTAATAAACTTGGCCAGATTTCTAGAAATGAGAGCTGCTACCCAGAAAGGAACATGGACACAGCACAGGGAAACAAGTACAACCACAACAGGAAGTGTCTGCTCATATATATATGAGCTTCAGTTCCTCAGTCCGTTTATTGCATTTCCACTTTAGAAACCTCTGACATTCCTTTCAAACAAGGCAGTGTTCTACTTTTTCATACTATAACTAGTTGTAGAGATGATCGGTAGAGACATAGCACTAGAAGCTTTGGGCATACTCCTCAATGCCAATGTAACTTCTGTACAAAATGCAGGATCACAATCTGGTTATAACGGAGATGTAGTTGATGGACGATCAGCACAGCAGCACCTGTCCATCAAGAATTTCATCCCAACAATCTTCGATGCAGATGAAACCAGGTAATTATTGGAGATGAGATGTTTTGTTATCATCTATACACAAAAATGTTACACAGTAGTGTAACAAACTTTATTCTACAACAGGCATGAGAAGGTTTTTAAATACATAGTCCTGTTTGCAGAAAATGTTGTGAACGAGCAGTCTAGATATAATTTAGCTATGACTGTAAGAAGAGACTACTAATGTGCTTTGAAATTGCATGTCCCCCCCCACCCAACATTACAGCCTGGTGTCAAGATCCACCTTTTCCAGGCTCCAAAGCTTCTTGGAAGATGGTGTACAGGTAGAAGGCTTTGACGAAGTGGACATGCCAACAAGAAAACATTTCCTTATCGACGAGAATGAATTCTTTCATCCAAATTATGACTATGATTTCACCCATTTGAAAGACACCAAGACTTATTACAGAGGTGGAGAGGTGTATGAACGCCCATGTGGTTGGAAGCGTTTTGCCCTCAGGGTAAATATGCTTTTGTTTTACTTGACATTAAATCCCAGAATATCCTTCCACTTAACTGCAAATTTTGTTGAATGTAACCAAGTGAGGTGCAGGGACATTTGGGGTTTTGGGAGTGTAATTGTGTTGTGCAAAAAAACAGGGCTTGTACCCTTGACCTTCACTGACCCCAGAAAGCAAAGTTCAATAGAAATAATAATATAGCAAATTAGATGCAGTAATAAATCTTTTGCTAATTATGGGGCAAAAATAGTCAAAACAAGCTCTCAGATCCAAAACGACCATATCACTGTGCTAGAAATTTGGTATGGTCAATATATTAGCAAACACATTCCTACTTACACATTCTATCAAAATGATCAATCAGTATAACTGCAATATTTACTCTCCTTTTAGCTGTGTGTTCATCACCACTAGTAAGCCCTTTCACATTAAAGTTGTACCTGATATATTTAGCTCCATCCTGTTTTTCCTGCTGTTACTCATTGTTGAAGATATCATGGGTCAGTTTAACTTTTATATCTTTCTATGGCAAATCTTGTTAACTTTACACAGTCAAATGCACATCTTCATAACAATTAATGTCACTACAATAAAATAACAAAACTTCTGATGTATTATTTTGTCAAAGGTCCTGGATAAGTATGATGGAAATACCTGGCTGGGAAACCGATACCGCAGCACAGAGTCAGTGCCAGGAGAGTGGCCTGTCTCCTACCATGGGACATCAAAGGAAGGTGCTGAAGGCATCATCGCAGGATTCTACAAGGTTCGATTATATATCAATTATTGTCAGGGGTAAATGTTAATACACTACAATGTAACACCTTTGTTACTGCTTTACTGAGATACACATAAAATTGTAACATTATTAAGGTTTGACACATGGGGCCCTGTGTAGTTTGTTATTTCCCTGACCTTCAAATTTGCTGTGTGGTATTCTAAGCACATCGTGCAAACAGGTGTGCCAATCAGATTATTTTGTCAGCAAGAGCAAACTAAATACTGGAAGTAAATTTGTACAGCAACAACAGAATAATGCTCAAAAAAGGAACATCATTAAAGCAATCAGTAGTTTCAAACTAAAACTAAAAGCTTAAACATAAAATGATGAACCATCTGTGTTTGGAATAACTTTAAAACATAAATGTGCTTTTTAAAACTAAAAATTTATCTGTAAACCATCACAAAAGTCTTATGTTAAAGATCTAGATATAGAATATAATCACGGTGTTTCTATTTCCGGCACAACCACATATAAATACTGTATTTAACTGTTTGTAATGTATTTATCATTATGATCAATTAATAATGACTGCATAACTACAAACCCTAGTGATATAATCAAATAGTTAAAGCCAATTTTTGTTTTTAATAGCCAGGCCCACGGCAGCTGTATGGCAGGGGGATTTATTCTACTCCAAACATCACTGAAGCAAAAAACTACGCCAAAACATTCACCTCCAAAAATGATGGCAAGAGATACAAAGTGGTTCTGCAGAATCGTATCAACCCTGCGTACAGGCAGAAACACAGAAACAATGGAGATTACTGGCTGGTTTCCATCCCAGAAGGAACATCAGTGACAGAAGAGCAGAAGATGGTAGAAAGGGCCATCCGTCCTTATGGCCTCCTGTTGAGGGAGGTCTAACAGGGCGAGAAGAAAACCCACAAATTTGGCCACGTATTTGTTTCCTCAGCTTTATTTTGAAAAGCCAGTGGGTGGGTTGTCTCTGAAGCCAGTCTGTGAAAAATACTCTGATGTAGTCAAATTATATTGAATTCAAAAAATCCATTACTTTATGTAGTAACTTGTTCTTTAGACTTGTGTCAAAAATTCAAACATACTGTACTGGCCTATTTGTATTTTTTGTATTTGTATTTTAAACAACCTGTTGTCCAGCACAGGAAAGTAGGAGGAGAAAGGAGGAGAAAACAGGCAGTAGGAGAGAGAGATACAGATTTAACAGCAGCTTTAGAGAGATGCATTTAAGTCAAAGAAGTTTGATTAATAACTCTTAATTCTTAAGTTTGTGGGAAGGAGTAAAATCTCACTTTTCTGGTGCAGTTTGGTTTAAATCAGATGTTGCTCTATTAAGCATTCACATGAGGAGTCAAAGCTTTATTTAACTGTACATAAGGACTATCAATCTAGGTGGACTGATAACATTTTCCTTTCTCACTTTTCCTTTCACTCAGAGAACAGTGGTCACAGAGTAAACAGCAGTTAGTAATGTGATTTCTTGTAAGTGGGCAACTTTCTCTGCAGAGACCAATGGAATGAAAGTGAAACAATCAACTTCCATTTTATATGTTGTATAGTCATGAACCCTCCGCCGTGGCTGGCTGCCTAGTTACGTGTGTCAGGGTGGGTTTTGTTGTTTTTTGGTGAAGTGCGGGTGTGTTTTTGTTCTGTCTGTATGTTTTTCTGTCTCTCAATCTCTCCAGTCAGGAAAGTGAGCCTGGGCTTGAGGTTTGGCACTCCCAGGATCTATCTGTCATCTGACTCCATCCACCACACAGCAGCTCCATAAAAACAACCTCACATCCAGTATAGTTAGAATAGTTAGGGGACACCGGGGGATGGTTGCAACACAGGACAGTTGTAACATGTCCAATTTCTGTAATCAGGAACAAGTAGTAGCACCCTGTGGCAGGCACAGCCAATTTTAAAAAGAAAAAAATACACACAAATAACACAAACATTAATGTTTAATTGTTTTATTGTTATGTTCAAATGTTAAAACCTGTAAGCTTCTCTGTGGGCCCAAGACGCCTGCTCTCCAGGAGTGGCATATGTCCATCACCACTGTGATGGTGCATGAAACAAGCACGTTACTAATATGACTCCAAGTAACTAAGATATTTGGATCAGCCCTACACATCAATAATGTTCAACTATTGAATAAAACGCTTTCAATATCATTTTCTTTTCATTTTCCCTGTTACATCATGTTACATTTCACCCCAGGGTTTGTTGCATCCAATCCAGACTATGGGGTGAATTCTATCGTTTCACTCCTTGTGTTTATGGGCAAAACCATGCACATTCTGTCTGTGTGTTGCAGAGACAACAGTTCCACCATTTAATAGCAGACACATGTAACTGGTTTGAATCACATTTTGAAGGCACTGGATTAAAAGAGCTCCAACATACAGACAGAATTCTCAAAAATGTTTCAAACATCCCTAAAGCCTGTACCACGAAGCAGGATTTTAGCTTATCGGGCTAACTTCGGGTTTAACCCTGGGTTTTCAGGTCCACGAAGGTGGTTCAGTTCTTACTGGAGTACATCGCCATGGTAACTTATGCTGAAAGGCTAACCTGCTCTGGAGCAGGTTATGTTAGACATAAGAAATCAAATCTATGAAAACACCAATACTGATCAATTCTTTTGTGAAATGACATCACCATCTGTAGGAGATCCAACAGAACGTTTTATAGGCTGCTTTTATTTTTGCTGCAGAGAAATGTTTGTATAGTGATATCAGAGGTTTAGAAAGATGCATTTAAGTCCAAAGAAGTTTGGATAATTTTGATAAGTGTAGGAGTTAAATTTCACTTTGAAGAATACGAATCCATACTACCTCAAAGTTTTTCAGGTACAGTTTGGTTTTTACAAACATGGAAAATCTGATTTTGTCATTCTGTTTAGCACTCTCACGAGGAGTCACAACTACACATAAGGATTATGTATCTAGTGGGACTGATAACATTTTCCTTACACTCAGAGAACAATGGTTACACTGTACAGCACAGGAGCAGAGATGGCCGAGAGGTTGCGAACGAGAGATTGCTGCATTGGCCTATTTGTATTTTCTACGTTTGTACGTGTAAAGAGTCTCCTGGAGGGTAAAGGTCTAGATCCAAATTCTCTGGAACCGAAAGCAAAGTGAGAGAGGGAGGTCCCGGGACGGCTAATTGTCAAGAACAGGAAATTCAAGAACAGGAAATTCCAGTACTTATAAGAGAGGAAAAGGGAGCAAACACGAAGCAGAAAACAGGAAGCAGGAGAGAGATATAAAGGTACATAGACTGAACAACAAAATTGCACTTCTATATCACAACCAGCAAGAAGACCTCAGAGATTAATTTTAAACAAGAAAGTTCAAGACTTTTTTATACTAGTCCTGTAACCAATTGTAGGCAAAAGATGATAGATAGAGACGTTGCACTAGAAGCCTTGGGCACACTTTGCAATGCCAGTGTAACTAGTAGGGTCGGTGCAGGAGCAGCACAGGATTACCTGTCCATCAAGACTTTGATCTCTACAGTCTTGGCATCAGAGGAAACTTGGTAATTATTGGCGATGAGACGTTTTGATAAGTATGGAAAAGATATTTCTGAAAATGTTACATACTACGGTTTTAAACAGATTTTGCTCTGCAACAGCCATGAGAGAGTTTGTAAATACAGAATGACTTGTGAACAAGCTGTCTTGAAATAATTCAGATGTGACTGACTGTAAAAAGAGACCACTAATGTGCTTTGAAATTGGATGTCCCCAGCCAGGTGTCAATATCCAGCTATGTCCACATACAAACCGTCTTGCAAGGTTATAAACAGGCTGCCCCAAACAACCATGTGGACATAAGTGGCGTATTATCAGGAGGAAGTCACTTCATCGACGAGGATGAATTCTTTGACCCACAATTCGACTATGATTTCACCAATTTGAGAGACACCGAGACTTATTACAGAGGTGGAGAGGTGTATGAACGCCCATGTGGTTGGCAGCGTTTTGCCCTCAAGGTAAATATGCTTTTGTTTTACTTGAGTTCCTTCAAGTTCCTTTGTGAAATACAACTGCATATTTATGTGACATAAAATCCTCAAAATAAGCTGACAGATGCAAAACAACAGTTTCTTGATAAATATTAGCAAACACTTTCCTACTTACACACCCCATCAGAAACAAAGCAACATTATCGTAGGACTGCAGAGTTGGCTGCAGTTTATTTTGTTTTATTATGACACAATGAATGAAACAATCTTGAAAAATGTTGACAATGCAACTTAAATACAATTGTTTGTTTTTAAAGCAGCATCTGAAACAGACGCCAACATGTGAATAGGGGGTACCGGCACCTAATATTTTCCACTTCAAGCTCTGGTCTCATGTGAATATTTTGTCACAGGTCCATGATAAGTATGATGAAAATACCTGGCTGGGAAACAGATACCGCAGCACACAGTCAGTGCCAGGAGAGTGGCCTGTGTCCTACCATGGGACATCCAAGGCAGGTGCTGAAGGCATCATCGAAGGATTCTACAAGGTTTGATTATATATCACTTATTATCAGTGGTAGCCTAAATGTTCATCCAGTAGAATGTAACATGTTTGTAACTGCATTACTGAGTTAAACATACAATTTTAACATAATTAAGGTATGATAATGGGGCCCTATGTAGTTTGGTATTTCTCTGACCTTGGAATTCACTGTGCCCATCTGTGTGGTATTTTGAGCATGTGGTGCAAACAGGTGGGAGGTTCATGTCTCACCACAAAGCAAGTTGTTGGTAGTTTGGTGGAAAATACTGGATATGAATGTACAGCAACAACAGAGTAATGCTCAAAGTAGGAACAACAGTAAGGCAGTCTGCATTTATCTATAAATTAATATTCATTCTACAGTATGACTTGTCTCTAGCTGATTCATACTAGTTTGAGTGGTTTAAACTGAAAGGTTGAAACATAAAAGGTCAAACTGTCTTTGTTTGGAGTAACTTTACTTAATAAATATGCATTTTAAAACTAAAAGTTTTACATCAGAAGATCAAAAAGGTGTTCCTGTGCAACCACAAAAAAACCCGCTGTATTTAAGTGTTTGTATTGTGTTAGAATTACTGCATATGTACAATCCATATATAAATGAGTTAAAGACAAAATACTATGAATGTTAATAAATTCTAATTCGTAGTTTTTTCAACAGCCAGGCAATGACGAGGGACGTCAGGTGTATGGCAGGGGGATTTATTCTACTCCATACATCTCTGAGGCGATCCAATACTCCAAAACATTCACCTCCAAAAAGACGGGCAGGACGTACAAAGTGATTCTGCAGAATCGTATCAACCCCGAGTACAGGCAGAAACACAGGCAGAACGACGATTACTGGCTGGTTTCCATCCCGGAAGGGACACCAGCCAAAGAAGAGCAGAAGATAGTAGAAAGGGCCATCCGTCCTTATGGCCTTTTGTTGAAAGACATCTCAAACCCTGAGGAACTCTGCTCTATTTTATAAAGACTATTTAAAAGAAAAAGCACAGTGGTGAATTTTTTTACTTGTTCCTTTGCAAACACCAAATTACTTTTCCTAAGCCTAATTCTGATTTTGCTGTGAAGTAGGGTTACAGCAGTGTACCGGTTTTACAGTATACCATGGTATATTCAAATTGATCATACTATGAACATTTGCTAGTTTAATTTTTGAGCCATGTTGATGACAATTACTATACATTCTATAATGTAAAATGGGCATATCATTTTCCAAAACAATAAAATTTTGAGTTTCAACATTTGATACATTTTCTTTTACTACTTTAGTTAAACATGGGGATATATACAGTTGTGCTCAAAAGTTTGTATACCCTTGAAGAATTGGTAATATGTACCATGTGTAAAGAAAACATGAGTAAGCCAGAAAAACACTCTTTTATCTCTTATGGGATTCACATTGAACTGTAGGTCATAAAACAAAACATGGCGACAAAGAAAAAAATTAACCGACCCCTGTTCAAAAGTCTACATACACTTAGTTCTTTTTTTTTTTTTTTTTTTAACTTTTTTATTTAACAGTCAGACATATACAAACCAACATAGTGCAGTAGTGAGCAATCTTGTAAATCCATAATTCCAGAAGTGACATAAAAGTGATTTAAGTGTTTGATCTAAGTGTACATGTGAACAGGTGTGAGTATATATGTGTATGTGTATGTGTATGTGTGTGTATGCGTAAACAAAGTTACCATTTATTATTTATTACCATTTTCATTACCATCTCCGCCCCACTACCACCATATTGCCAGTATTGTGTTTGTTGATTTTTATTTCCATCCTTCCTCCTATGTACCAATTGCCATTGTCAATCCTGCATAAAATAAAAGATGATAAAATAAGATAATGTAAGATACCTTTCCCCCACATCTCTTCAGTCCCTATCTTTTCATTTTTTTTTTTTTTTTTTTGTGTTATGTGTAATGTCTAAGGTGCATTAAAAGAGAGAGTACAGTGCGATAGTGTCTCAAATTGGGACAGAGATGCTGTCCCATTGAAACCACTTCTCGCCTGTCTTGCCTGCCTTGGTGTTTGTGTGGTTTTCCATATATACATTTTTTTTTTTTTTTTTTTTTTTTTTTTCTCCCTATTCTATGTTGTGGTGCATTAAAAACCCGTGAAGAGATAAGGGGGGAATTATTGCAGTAGTGATGATAATGACACTTAATTCCAATACAGCATTGACAACGGCAATATTGATGATTATAATAATAATGGTAATAATGATATTAATAATAAATGACAATGATGATGGCAGTGGTGACCGCAATGGTGAAAGCAAAAGACAGCAACATCAGCAATTACAACAATGAAAAAATAACAGTGAAAATAGCAACGATAACAATAACAGTAAAGATAGTAATAACAATGATGACATGAACAAGTTCAAACAACTAAATGCATTAATTTTCGTGGGTTGATTAAGAAGGTGGGAGGAGTTGGAGTTGAAAACCGAGAAAGGGTTCACAGCTGTAAGAGGTCAGAAAGTGTTGGGCGGCAGGAGTCAGTTTTAGATGCGTAATTATGAAGGGGAGATGCATATTCCATTGCAATGAAGTCTGTTATAAGATTTTTCCAAATGTTAATGTGTAATTTATTTCTAGTTTTCCAGTTCATGAGGATAGTTTTCTTGGCGATGGTTAGAGCTATGAGGAGTATTTTAGAGTTTATAGTTTTATCAGTGATTATTGTGAGGTCTCCCAGCAAGCAAAGAGAAGGCGACATTGGGATGTGGCAGCCAACTATAGTGGATAGTGACTGTGTGACCTCTTCCCAAAAGTGTTTGATTGGAGTGCAGTGCCAGGTTGCATGGATGTATGTATCTGTAGAATTTTGATTGCAATGTGTGCAAACTTCTGATGTGAAACCCATTTTAGCTAATCTATTGCCCGTGTAATGTGTTCTATGAAGTATTTTGTATTGTATTAACTGAAGATTTGCATTTTTGGACATGAGATGGATGTTTTTACAGATTTGGGTCCAGAAGCTGGCATCAGGAGCTATTGAAAGATCGTTTTCCCATTTTATTGTTGGTAAGTATATGGTCTGAAGTTGGTTTGAAATCATTTTGTATATTTTAGAGAGAAGTTTCTTTGGGGAGGAAATGTTGACCAAGTCTGATATTGCCGCTGGAAGTTCTAAAGTTGTGTCTCTGATGTTTATTTTTGTCAGAACAGAAGATTTGATTTGTAGGTATTTTAAGAATTCGTTGCTCCCGATGCCATACTCCTGGGCTAGTTGCGGAAATGGTCTAAATGTGTTAGATTTGAAAATGTGCTTAATGTGGGTAATACCCCTTTCTGCCCATGTGTGAAAATTCAATGTTTTTTTATTGCTTATAAAGTCACGGTTGTTCCACAGTGGTGTGAAGTTAGATGGAACTAATTTAGAATTTGTGATATGGTGAAATTTCCACCAGGCTGTCAGAGTGGAAGCTATAGTTACTGCATTAAAACATGTGTGTTGTTTGATTGATTTGGTGAGGAACGGTATGTCAGCTATATTTAATTCTTTGCATAGTGATTGTTCTATATCTAGCCATATAATATCGGATTGGGTGGGGTGAATCCATTTGTATATGTATTGCAGTTGGTTAGCCATTGAGTAATATTGGAAATTTGGTGCTTCTAGTCCTCCTTGAACCTTACTTTTTTGTAGTGTAGTGAGTTTTATCCTTGGCGTTTTATTTTTCCAGTAGAAGTGAGTGATAATGGAGTCTAGTGATTTAAACCAGGTCAGTGTAGGGTGGGTTGGAATCATTGAGAATAGATAATTAATTTTCGGTAAAATCGTCATTTTTATTGCTGCTATCCTGCCGATTATGGAGATTGGAAGGTTGAGCCATCGAAGCAAATCGTCTTTTATTTTTTTTAGCAGTGGTGTGAAGTTGAGTGTTACCAACTCTGACAGTCTGGAGGAGATCTTAATGCCTAAGTAAGTGATGTGATCATGACATATAGGTATAGGTGTTTGGTGGGGTGCCACATCCCATTTGGTTTTATGTAGAGGGAGGATGAAAGATTTGTTCCAGTTTATTGCATAATCTGATATTTTTGAGAAGGACTGGATTGTTTTAATTACTTCTTGAGTGGATGTTAGGGGTTCTTGTATATATAGTAGGATATCATCTGCATAAAGTGAGATTTTATGTGTTTGTTGTGGTGTTTCAATACCTTTGATTGCTGGGTTTTGGCGGATAGCTGCTGCTAAAGGTTCAATAAAAATCGTGAATAGGGATGGAGAGAGTGGACATCCCTGCCTCGTCCCCCTGTGCAGTGTGAAGCTTTGTGATGTTAGTCCATTGGTTGTGACTGTGGCCGATGGTGATGTGTATAAAATCTTGATCCAATTAATAAATGACTCTCCAAAGCCGAATTTTTGTAACACGGTGAATAGAAATTTCCAGTTGACCCTATCAAAAGCTTTTTCGGCGTCTAATGTGGCAATGAGAGTATCTTTCTTTTGTACTGATGAGTAATGCATTAGATTGAATAATCTGCGGGTGTTATTGGATGCATATCTACCTTTTATAAAGCCGGTCTGATCAGGATGGATTATAAACGGTATAATTTGTTCAATTCTATGGGCTAGTGTTTTGCTAATCATTTTTATGTCGACATTTATAAGTGAGATAGGGCGATAGTTAGATGCGAAGGTGTGGTCTTTGTTAGGTTTAGGAATGAGTGATATAAGTGCTGTATTCATGTGGGATGGGAACTTTGCGTTATGTTTTATTTCTGTTATTGTTCTGCTGAATAGTGGGTATACGGTTGACCAAAAATGTTCGTAGAACTCAGCAGGGAAGCCATCTGGACCTGGTGCTTTATTTTTTTGCATGCTTTTCAATGCGGAGTGAAGTTCTTTTTCTGTGATTGGTAATTCTAGTGTGTTTACTTGTTCCATGTTGAGTTTGGGTAGAATAGTGTTATCGAGGAATTGGGTTATGTCTTCTTGGTTTGGGTCCAGATCCGATGAGTATAATTTTATATAGTAATCTTGAAATATCTTGTTTATCTCAACTGGTGAATTGGTTAGCTTCCCTGCCGAGTTTCTGATGGAGGTTATAGCTGTTCTTTCTTTATTTCTTTTAATTTGACTGGCTAAATATTTTCCGGATTTATTGCTATGGTGAAAAGTTTCTTGACGGAGCCTGTGAATCAGAAACTGGTTTCTTTTGTTTATTATTTCATTAAGCAAAATTTTCTTCTCTCTAATTTCTATATAGATGCTTTCTGATTGATTATTAGCATGTAAAATTTCTAATTCTTTTATTCTTTCTTCCAGTTGGACTTCTTTTTCTTTGTCCTTTTTTTTTTATGTACTGAATATGATATAATTTTACCCCGTAAAACTACTTTCCATGTTTCCCAGAGCAGTGATGCTGACGACTTTGGAGAGTCATTTATTTCAAGGAAGGATGTCCACTCTCTCTTGAAATAGCTGTCAAATTCTGGATCTTTCAAGAGTGATGTATTAAAACGCCATCTGGTGGGGTGCTTTGGTATTGCAGATGGATTCCATGTGAGAGTTACTGGAGAGTGGTCACTAATAATGATCGGATGTATTTTAGTTTCTAAGATATTAGGTAGGATTGAATTACTGGTTAGAAAGAAATCAAGGCGAGAGTAGGTTTGGTGGACATTAGAATAAAAGGTGTATTCTCTGGCGAGTGGGTGTTGTAGCCTCCAACCATCACCAAGACCAAAATCACTCATGAACTGTTTTATTGTTTTAGAGGACTGCCAAGGTTTTCCTGTATGTTTTGACCTGTCAAATGATGGATTGATTACAGTGTTATAGTCTCCCCCTATAATTATTGGACCGTTGGAAATGTTTGAAAGAGAGGAAAAGAAATTTGCAAAGAAGGCGGAATCATCAGAGTTTGGTCCATAAATGTTGCCAATTGTAATTGGATTATTATTGATTGAAATGTTAATAATGATAAAACGGCCTTCAGGATCTGAAATGGTTGTATGGTGGTTAAACTGTATTTTTTTGTTTATTAAGATGCATACTCCTCTTTGTTTTGAATTATAGTGGGAGGAAAAACAGTGGTTAAAATGTGTAGTTTTTAAGCTGTTTTGTGTATATTGCGACAGGTGTGTTTCCTGTATTAGACATATATCTGCTTGTGTATTTTTTACACAAATTTTTATACACTTAGTTCTTAATACTGTGTACTGCTTTAGCATCAACGACAGCGTGCTGTCTTTTGTAATAGTTTTCTATGAGGCCCTGAATTCTTGCAGGTGGTATAGCTGCCCATTCATCTTGGCAAAATGCCTCCAGTTCATGCAAAGTCTTTGGTCGTCTTGCATGAACCGCACGTCTGAGATCTCTCCAGAGTGGCTCGATGACATTAAGTTCAGGAGACTGTGATGGCCCCTCCAGAACCTTCACCTTTTTCTGCTGTAACCACTTGGCCTTATGCTTAGGGTCATTATCTTGCTGGAAAGTCCAAGAGCCTGCAGAATAATGCAAATTGCCTGCCAGTATTTTCAGATAACATGCTGCTTTCATCTTGCCATCAATTTTCATCAAGATTCCCTGTGTCTTTAGAGCTCACACACCCCCAAAACATCAGTGAGCCACCACCATGCTTCACAGTGGGGACGGTATTCTGTTCACTATAGGCCTCAGTGACCCCTCTCCAAACCTAGTGCTTATGGTTGTGACCATAAAGCTCTATTTTGGTCTCATCACTCCATATTACAGTGTCCCAGAAGCTGTGAGGCGTGTCAAGGTGTTTTCGGGCATATTGTAACTTTCTTGTGACATTGGCGCAGTAAAGGCTTCTTTCTGGCAACTCGACCATGCAGCTCATTTTTGTTTCAAGTACCGTCGTATTGTGCTCCTTGCAACAACCACACCATCTTTTTCCAGAGCAGCCTGTATTTCTCCTGACGTTACCTGTGGGTTCTTTGTATCCCGACAGTTATTTTGCATGACGAGTCATATTTTCAAAATGAATGCCAAAATAAAAAAATTATGCCAGGGTATGCAAACCTATTAGCACAACTGTATGTACATATATATATTTAATTATTTGCCTATATTTGGGACAGGCCTTTAATTCCTTTTCCACAAAACTCCCAGAATATATAAAAGCCTACTGTAAAATTATTTAACCAGAAATTTTATACCATTTCAACCAGTAGGAATATTACTTGTAGTCTATTAAAATTAGGCTATTGGATAACACATCAATTACAATTAATTTATTTTATCAACCTCTGAGAGAAAGTGCATCCAACCTCATGCAGAGACAGAGATGAAATGAATTGTTCTTTTGTATTATATTTTAATTTTATAATTTCCTTTGAAAACTACAGAAAAACAAGTTGTTTTTCTGTTTTAAAACCAAAATGGAAAAATTGTCAAACAAAAAAACAGACCTCTATTTTTATTTAAACTCATAACGGAAAACAGGGTGGCTAATTGGGTCTGGGTATCTCTGGATAATCCGTAATTCGTTTGTAATTCTAAAACGAAAATACCGTTTATCTGTTTTTTGTTTCAAAACGAAAAACGAAATAATCGTTTTTGGTTTCAGAATCAAACAACGAAAAACCAATTCAACGAACAAAGAATGAAGAGAGTCGGTCTGGGAATTACAGAATATCCACAGATACCCGGACCACTAACATGTCCTGTTTATGTCCACACATGCCTTTAAAACACCAGAGTTGACGGTTGAACCACAGGCAGATACATTTTTTGATGAGGGAGCTGTCGTGGCAAAACATGTTTCCTCTAGTTAGGGTGAGATGAATAGCAATTCAATTCTCCCGGTTTTCATGTAGTTGATACGCAGATAGGATACTTCTGCACAAACCTCATAGGGACACAGAGAGAAGTCTAATAATAATCATACTTTATCCTTAGACAACAGTCACTAGGTTATACTTATTTGTTCATATTCTTCATTATGTTTGGCAGCTACAGCAAGCACATGAGTATTTTAACACACCAATTCAATAACAGAACAAAGCACACTGAAATCATGTAAGGTTTTTATTACAATGAGCTCAGGACGAAACAGTCAACAAAGATCAAGACAAAATATATACTTGAGTTACAACAGTAATTAAAGCCTAATTACAAGTGATACCCAAAGTTAAGATTGTCAACATTTTCTAAATCTTTTTATTCAGAAAGATTTTCAATAAAACCAAACTAATATCTGTTACTAATTCACAGTTTCAACATTTAACTAGAGAGACCACAAACTTCTGTGTAACTACAAAAAGTGAAGGTCTAACTTTTGTAGATATTTAAAATATATTTAACACATTATATATATTGTGTAATAATATATAATAGTGATTAACCTTTAATATTTGATCAATTCAACATATACTCACTCTACTCTGGGGACCTGATAAGGCCGTAAAGGGCTCCTGTTCCCCAAAGTTGAGTTAAGGTCCTTTAGAAACAGATGAACTACCGCAGTGTTAAAATCTGTGGTAATTTGTTCAATAATAGGTAAAATTGAACTATAGTTAACAATTTCATTCCAGTTCTTTGTCAGAATATCAATAATTGTGTCATGGACCAGTGGATGAAATGCAAGTGATGAAATAATTTTCACTGCACAGGCCACATGTTGGTCTTTTGTCAGATTAACTGAATTTTCTGCCAGTTTCTTAAATTTGTCGAGACATGATTTAATATCCCCATTTAGTTTTTTTCTTTGTTGTGTGTCCTTAACAGTAGAGATTGTCTGGTAGATTTCCAAAAAATGTTTTTATTGAAATAGTCAGTGTTCAATTTAAAAGGAATTTCCTTGTATGTTTCAACATAGGGATAAAAACAGCTGCTGGGACTTGAGATGTCAGAGTACTTGAGATCTACAAAATAATTTGGACCCTTTAGTCCCCAAACCTTAGTGAATGCCACATAAGTAAAAAATCCATATTTACTGAGCCACTGATCAGCCATCTCTAAAAGTTTAAACATACATGGCTCAATATCTTTTTTTCTCTTTAAACATGGACTGTTGAGAGTATAAATTAAAATAGTCTGAACATTTGTTCCATTGTTTGGTAGAAATTCATCAATTTGTCTCATTAAAATTTCCTCACTGTGTGATGTAACTTCAGTGGAAGGAGAAGCAGAATTTTTGCTCTTCTTGTCTCGATAATATGGACAAACTGCATGAAAAAGGTTAGATGTACCATTTTTCATTTCAACAACAGCATATGCAAATTGTTTGTCCCCCTTTATGTTTATTGTGGTCATTGTTTTGCTCCAAAACTCCATGTCTCGATGTCTAATAACCAATTCATTGTTTACATTTGAAAATAATGTCATTATTTGCTTAAAAAGTTGCTTTTTATAACGACAAGTTATTAGCGTCATGAAATTGTCTTTTAATGACATAATTTCTGTTCTTGATGTCAGTGAAGGGTAGCGTTGATCCTCCTGCTGCTGGTCCTCTTCCCTGGATAATGAAAAAGGGGGAACTTAGTTTAATCCACATGAAAAAAATCTTGTGCTAAACAATTTGTCATTTAACCTTTCAGCTGCAATGTTCCCCATACGCTGCATACGTCGAGCTACAACTGTAAGCTGCCAACTGACTGAATGAATTGAACTCTGTGGTAGTGTGTTAGGTGACGAAGACGCCGGGTTTATCTAAAGTCTGCGTAGGGAGGGGGTCGGGCTGGATGGATGAGTCACCAAAAAGTTTAACTTTAACCTCTGCCCTAAAAGGAAGTAGTAATTTTAACCCACTCCATGATCTTTGCTTAACCCTAACCAGATTTATTTTTCAAAAGGAGTTTTTTATGGGTTTGGAAGTACCAAACAAAATATACTCACCGGCCACTTTATTAGGTTCACCTGTTCAATTGCTTCTTAACACAAATAGCTAAACAGCAAGTCACATGGCAGCAACTCAATGTATTTAGGCATGTAGACATGGTCAAGACACTTGCTGAAGTTCAAACCGAGCATCAGAATGAGGACGAAATGGGATTTTAGTGACTTTGAACGTGGCGTGCTTGTTGGTGACAGACGGGCAGGTCTGAGTATTTCAGAAACTGTTGATCTACTGGGAATTAAACGCAGACGGGCTACAGCAGCAGAAGACCACTCTAGGTGCCACTCCTGTGAGCTAAAACCAGAAACTACAGTTCACACAGGCTCACCAAAATTGGACAATAAGATCTGAAAAAACGTTGCCTGGTCTGATGAGTCTCGATTTCAGATGGTTTGCTGAAGTGACTAAAGAAAGAGGTGCTTAACACCATAACTGATGCCTTGTCTTCTGTATGTATGAATGTATGTGTGTTGTAGAGCAGCACAAGCCCCGTTGTTAGTAGTGAATGGGTCACTGGTGTAGGAATTTTTTCCTTTTATAAGCAGATTGATTGATTGTGTATCTGTGTTGTGGTGTGGGTTTTGTTTTGCATGTGTGATTGGTTAAGTTGTTTTCCTGCATGCATAGTTTCTATTTTAGTTTTATTTCTTACAAATTATTGCCAAAGGAGAACTACTGTGGAGAGTGGACTGTGTGTAACTCTGTGACTGCTGTGACCATTCTGTTTAGGCAACACAGTCTCACTCCCTACTCGTCAAAAGGCCCGTTGTCGTTGCTTTTTAAAGACTTGGGTAGCCCCTTTGCATCAATTATTGACGTTTAGGGATCCACAGTCAAGTTAGCAACGCTTAGCAACAATAAATATGCAATATCGGGTTACACTTTCAAGATAAAACGTAACGTTTCGATACATTGCCATGTTGAAACGCGCATAATTAAAGTCGTGAAACGTTGCAGTTTCGTTAGGTTTAGGCACAAAAAGTACTTAGTTAGGTTTAGGCAACAAAACTACTTGGTTAAGGTTAGGAAAAGATCGGGGTTTGGGTTAAAATAGCTATGTATGTCAATTAAGACTTAAGTTAACTTACGTTAATGTCAATTTACCTCACTCGCCTAAATAAAACATTTAATGTTTTGTTTCGCACTGGACACAAACCCTGTTCTCCTGCTTCAAGGTCCGGGTTCTGGCCCTCTATCCACCCCAATCACCTCCTTACTTCGTCTTTTCTCTTAAATATCATACTTGCCTTTACCATCAAAAACTGACACAACAGGGCTTCCCTCAATACGTCGAACTATGACGTCAAAGGGATCCCTGGTGCGTCACAAACCGATGGATTCAGGCATGGCCCACGGCCATTACTGAATGTTTTAGATATTTTAGAGCCCTTTTTATACAGATCACTTTTAACTCCTTTATCCTGTTTAATTTAATAAACACTGGTTTACACCGGTTTAAACCGGTACTGGTCTGAGCCTTGTTTGTTGTCTGGTGCAGCTTGTTCCCCCAGCAGAGTCCAACCTACATAGTGTCGGTCACACCTACATAGTCCATTGTCATGGGACCAGTTGACATAACTGAGTAACAACATTTCATTTCTTGAAGTTTACCTTTGGGGTATGAGGTGCGGTACCTTGGTTGATAACATCTCTCCTCTCTTAAGCATTTCTTGAACTTGTTGTCCGCTTCTGTCCGGCTGAGAGAAAAAAAAACAGAAGAAGATTTAAGTTACTGGTGAAATGAACTGTACTGCCTACATGCTTCACCTATAGTCTGACAACCACTCAAAGTATTTTACACTCCCACAGAGTAGCCCATCGTTACCTCCATGGCTTGAGGCAGCAGGTCCAAAAGAGAACTATATGATTAGATTAACAACACAAAAGATAATTTAGAGTAAACATGTGTAGCTACTGCTTAAAATTTGGTTTGATGCTTTTTATACCAGGACTTCATTTGGCACATTAATGCGAACTTGTTCAAAATCATCGTGACTTACCAGACTTGATCCACAAACCCAATCCAGCAGGGGTTGACAGATGAGTTCTAGAGAATATATATGTAAATAAAAAAAGAAAATCTTACTATTCAATGGATTTTTATTTCAAAAATCTAGTAGCCTAGATATCAGACCTGTCAAGCCGCTACATATATATATATTTTTTAAATCAATTTCCTAGATGTGTTTAGAGTTGCAAATGAAACATTATGTGTTGATAGAGACATGTTGCTCAGAAAGACAACACACACCGACGTTTAACATAACACTTTACGAATCACAAAGAATATGAGAGCAAAATGAAAATATTGTATTTAGGTTATGTTTTAAGTTAAAAACCAGAGAATTCACCTGACGGGAAAAATGCAGCGAACACACTCTCGTTGATGCAGAGATGTTGTGAAAAGTAAAGTTTATCCTTCTGATTGCGGCAACCAACGCGACCCGGAAAGCTGAAAAACGTATTCCCTCAGTCAGTTTCCTCTCTGAACGACCGTGTGAACTACTATGGGGCAGTTCTTGAACGACCGACGTTTATTAAAAATCCCCACAGCCTCCTGACATTGTTCACACATTCCTGTAGGGTGTTTTCCTGTAATTAAAAGTGTGCTGTTCAGATTGCTACGCCCAATTCTCAGCCTGCTTATTATCACCTGGTCGTTTCCTCTTTGCTCCCCTGCTTCTTGATACACCTACTCTGCTTTGGATTTCGTGTAAATGTCTCCCTTTTATTGCATTATCCCAGCTCTGTTGCCATTGTTGATTTATACTTCTCCACACTATGCCTTTCCCCTCTGATTTTGATAATTTAATGTTGACTTCAACATCTCCTTTTTGTAACTGCTTCTTTTGCCACCTTATATATTATAATATTTTCCTTGTACTTACATTCCCTATAGCTATAATATACACTAGTTAAATCAGCATTCTTATTATTGTGTTTAATCTTAAATAGTTCCAAATCTTCACATGGTGTTTCTAATTCCCAGGTCTGACAGGTCACACCACATTTGCACCTAACTATTTATTATACCCCTCTATCCTTTGCTATTTGCTCCCCTGTCCACACAAAACTTGTTTTTTGTGTTGTCTCCTTCTCCAGCACCCTTTTTGCTGGATGGCCTGGATCTCCATGCCCTCTTAAACTGATCCAGTAATTAGCCCCCAGCTGCTTTCTTAATTTTATCATTATTCCTTTTTGAACTTCAGTCAATTAGTTTTTTCGTTATAGACCATAAACTTGGATGTCTCTTGGTCTGTACTATTATAAAACCTTCTACTGTGTGATTAGCAAGCAAACTAAAATAACGTTTTTAATAAAACTAAAACAACTTTTTTTAGTAAAACTAAACTAACAAATGTTTAGTTCTCCCTAACAGCCAGAGCATTGTTGACCTGTAACTTCAAGTGAACCAATGTTAAATGTAGCTTAGGACAGCAGTTCGCCTGTTTAAGTTTCTATTATTTAATTCATATTTTAGTTATAGGCCTTCTTGCTATATGGGAGCTCAACCAGCAGAGGTCCCTCTACCTCCTTCTGTGGCGCCAACAGGCAACAAGGTTCTCACCTTTTGACTTGTGTTTATATCAAAGAGAAGGCTGGCGCTGCAACCAGAGGAAGCTAATCACTGAGTTTGAAGGATTTGCAGAACTTCACCTGCCTCCCAGCTGCTCTTTCTATGGTGCTATAACTGCTGAAATCTCTCAGCTTCAACAATCTACTGCTGCCCAAACAAAACTCTTCCAAAACAAATCTGTGGAGTTGCAAACTTTTCTATTTATGCGATTTTGAGATATTTAATTTGCCACATAAATATAAAGTATTATGTTACTTAATTAGATGAAACACTTTTAATTCAGCCTGTTCAGCCTCCAAATTAGTTATGCAGGCCTTTGTGAAACCTGGTGACCATTGTGAGTAAAAAGCATCTTTTACTGCCTTTCTTGGGTTTAATTCTGTATGATGAACCATCAGGGAAAGGCAGTGATGGTGACCAAATCACAACAACAGTTATCTCACAGCGCTTTTCATAAAAGAGCAGGTCTAGACCGTACTCTGTGATGTTATTTACAGAAGCCCAACAGTTTCCCACCAAGAGCAGCACTAGGCGACAGAGGCAAGGAAAAACTTCCTTTAAGAGGCAGAAACCTCGAGCAGAACCATGGATCTGCCTCGACCGGTTCGGGGTGAAGGAGAGAGAGGGAGAGAGAGAGAGAGAGAGAGAGAGAGAGAGAGAGAGAGAGAGAGAGAGAGAGAGGGAGGGAGGGGGATGGAAGGAGAGAGAGGGGAGGGAGGCAGCCTACACAATATACACACAGAGGTGCAGACAGTAAAGGTGATGTTGCTATAGACTGAATGAAAAATGGTACAGATATTTACAGTAATGTTGATGAATCGTAATGTTAATGATATTAATAACAATAATAATAACAATAGTTGTTGCAGCAGAGGGTGTCGAGCAGGAACACGGGGGCAGCAGGAGACCTGCAGCCACAGATCCAGAGCCAGAAAACCTGCAGGAAGTGATAGGAGGAGAGAGGAGAGGGACGAGAAAGCACAAGACTACCGGAAAGGGGAGAAGTTGTGTTAGTAACATGCAATAATGGGATGAGGTTGCATACAGAGGGAGAGAAAGTAGAGGAGAGAGGAGCTCAGTGCATCATGGGAAATCCCCCGGCAGTCTAGGCCTATAGCAGCATAACTAAGGGATGGTTCAGGACTCACCTGAGCCAGCCCTAACTATAAGCTTTATCAAAGAGGAAAGTCTTAAGCCTACTCTTAAATGTGGAGATGGTGTCTGCCTCCTGAACCCAAACTGGAACCTGGTTCCACAGGAGAGGAGCTTGATAGCTGAACGCTCTGGCTCCTAGTCTACTTTTGGAGACTCTAGGAACCACAAGTAACCCTGCATTCTGGGAGCGCAGTGCTCTGGTGGGGTAGTAAGGTACTATGAGCTCTTTAAGATAAGATGGTGCCTGACCATTAAGAGCTTTGTAGGTAAGAAGAATGATTTTAAATTCTATTCTGGATTTTACTGGAAGCCAATGCAAAGAAGCTAAAACTGGAGAAATATGATCTCTTTTCCTGGTCAATAGTGGTTTAGTGGAAACTGTATATGAAACTTACACCCTGTGATTAGTTGACCAAATTGCAAAAACATATTTCTCACTAATTCTGGGTTCTGTGTTTGGAGACATCCAAGGTACTGATCATTGATGTATGTTGAAATATGATAAATTCTGTGTTGATCTGAGATATATTTTGAAGCACAGCCAGGATTTGTCCAGCTCCTCTGGACCGAACAGAGTAACAGTTTTAATGTATGAGGAGGTTTGAGAAAGTAAGATTGCTGACAAAGTTTGGGAGTTACTGATTGCCCAAGGAGCTTCTCACATGAAAAGTCGCAGGCAAGATAGGATATTTTTCGGCATCTAAATTTTTTTTGATTCGGATGAGATTAGAATTTTTTTGTCAGGAGATCAAAATATCACCACGGTGATCTATGTATTATTTTAATAAACCATATTATATTGATTTTCTTCCCAGGCTCCTCAGGTTTTTCTTCTGCTCAGCTGGGGCAGTGAAAAAAAGGGTTTCCACGACAGAGGTGTAAGAAACTAAATGTAAATTTTCACATTATATTTGATTGTATGCATACTTGTGTCAAACCTCCTGTTACTTTATTAAGTGGCTCAAAACCAGAAGAAGAGGTGGAGCAATATAAAAATGAAAACCAAGCTAAAAGAACCAACAGATTCTGTGCAAACAAACTATAGATAACAGTTAAATAAACAAAATCCACTCAAATGGAAAGAGTCTCCTGGATGACAAAGGTCCAGACACACAGAGAGAGAGAGAGAGGCACACATATTGGACAACCATTCCAAATACCAAAAATCAGTCTAAGTGTGGGTTTAAAACACATTGTTACATATCAATAGTGGTTTTGTGGACACTGTTGAAACAGATATAAACCAAGCCCTGTGATTTCTCCTTAAAGAGTTTAAAACATTTATTTTCTCACTAAACCAAAGGACAGTTTTCATTGGAGAATTTTTAAGAAAACATTTGGCCATGTGTTGTAAATGCTCCGTATTTGTATAGCACCTTTCTAGACTTTTCAACCACTCAAAGCGCTTTTACACGACATCTGCATTCACCATTCCCACTGAGCCCAAGTGCTCAAACAGAAACTAACATTCATACACTTGGATTGAACCAGCGATGTGCTCATGTGTGTTTCTCTGTCTGCAGAATCCGAACCTGATGTGTCCCATTCTGCGTCCAGACCTGCCAAACTGCTGCGTTTATATAATGTGTTAATATTTCTTTGTTCCTCTCTCTGTGCTGGAGTTCGTTAAGAACGTGGTTGCTTGATCCAGATTATTATTAAATTGGAGTGTAAGAGTGTGACAGTTGACAGTTGGCGCATTCAGCCTCCTCTTGTGCCGAAAGCTTTTTCTTCTTAATTCTTATTTTTTCGGCACCACACATTTCTTTTTCCTCCTTCTTTCTTTTTGCTATATTTACCATCTCTGTTGCACTTGTCACAACCCTGGGCTCGGCTGAGTTCAGCCCAGACAAAACGTAGCAAACCGGTGTAAAAGGTTTTTGGATTAAACTCGCCCCAGATGGAAAGTAAACTCCTCTGCCAATCAGAATTCAGCAAAAACGATGATCAGTCCAAGTTGGGAGGGGCCGTTCGTATCCCCCCCTCAATATTGAAAGTAAAACATTCAGTAAAATCGGATCATTCAGTAAAACATTAGAAACTGAAAAATGTCAGTATTTAGGGACATTAAACCCGTTTAATCTAAGAAAAGACATATGAAACTGTAGGCTAATTGGTTGTCCCTTCTCTTGCTTCTCCAAAATCTAACTTGGACAAAACAGTAAATATTTGTATAATTTTTTTTTTAGGGGTGCTTAGATGAAATTTAGGTGTGCTCAGCGTAATATTAAGTTTTTTGTATTGTATCTAAAAATATTATTCTTCAAATATCAGGGAACTCAGATATGTGGGAGAGATTGTGCAAAAGTTTTGAACATGAGCAGAAAACCTGCTGAAACACATTCTTTTAGTTTGGATTTGGTCTCCTGAGAAAAAAGATCTTCTCTCTTCTTCTAATTTCGAATTTGTGGCACTTTTGCTGATACTAAACAACTCAGTAGAACTTCTTGTGATGTGATTCTTGGCACTATGAACGAATCAATATCGAAGAATATTGAAAAAGCTGTAAAAACAGCATTGACATATTATCACTGTGTAAAGTTGTCATGGTGATTGTCGCCCACTTACACATCCAGCAGACACAGAGCAAGATTAGTGTCACATTTACAATGACTGAAGACATTATTAAATTAAAGTTATGCTTGAATTTGATTTAACTTTCCCCTCCAATCCATTGTTGAAGATATCATGGGTAGGTTTTACAAATCTTGTAAACGCACACATATGGTTGAATGCACATCTTCATAACAATTAATGTCATTGCTTCATGTCACCTCAACAAAACGTCTCGGGTTACATATGTAACCATTGCTCCCCGAGAAGGGGAACGAGACACTGCGGTGACGACACTATGGGAACGCCCCTGGGCGTGGCAGGGCTGAACTATGAATGAAACTACTCCAATCCTATTGGTGTTACTAGAACGATAGTGTGTGACGGCGTAACCGGAGGGGGTATATAA